GCCAATCAGCAGGCATCCTCTCGCAGAAGTAGGCCCCAGGGACCACGATAATTACATCCTTTTTCATTGGACGCGGGAAGAAGCGAGAAGCTCCAGCGAGTTTGGCGCTTCACGACACTGGGATCGAATTGACCGACAAAACAGTCCATCATAGACAGCCCACGCAACCCTAATCGTCGACACGTCGTTTTTTTGCATCGGCAACGACAGATTGGCAGTCCGAGGTGATGTCCTGTCCGTGACGAAGGAAGAAGAAGACGTGGGAATCGAACCCGCGACGGCCCCGCGCCTGCGTCCAAGTCGACGAACAGACGCTTCCAAGAAGCACCCTCCTTGACGTTTTTGCTTCGGACGTGGGTGCGTTGCCACCAGATCTTGGAGGCAAAAGATATGATGCTGTGGGCGTCAATGCGACGCCGCGGCAAGCCGTCGTTGATTGTGTTGGAACTGTAGTCGCGCCACGACCACGTCTCGATCGTGTGCAACGATGGCCGTTGCGTTTCTTATCTCGAATCATGACAGCACAATATACACTTTACATTAAATGTAAAGTGTATAGTGTGCTGTCATGATTCGTAGAGTGAAATTTTCACTCTACGACTTACCCACGTCTCTGCCCCGTGTTCTGCACCTAACCGCGCAGCTCCGAATTGGTTGCATTAAGTGCTCGGTGACACTGCTCTCGCCGGCATGTGGACAAGGTCGGTCATTACGATGACACCTTGATGTATGCGTGCCTCAGTTCAACTATTACCGACAAGTAAACTACTCGTACTATTGATGGTGGGTCTTGACGTCGAGGACGGGGATCGGTGACCGACCGTTCGGCGCCATGTGCAGCATCGTGCGCTTGGGCACTTGGAAATGGAGCGCCATGTACGAGATAAGGTTGAGGCCGAGAATAAACGCAATGAGGCAGCACACATCTTGCGTCTGGTTGTTGACGTCTTGCCCGATCGTTTGGAGAAACACTTCGCCGTAGATCGGAATCGCCGGGTACCCGGGCGCGTCAAAACTCAACAAGAGGCCCTTGAGCTCGTTCGTCATCATAATTTCAAACGCATACTTGAAGAGCGAGAGCCACTGGATGGGCGCAACGCCGCTCGGCATGGTCTGGACGTTCAGCAGAAAGCCACCAAAGAGGAGCATGAGCAACAAGACGACCGTTGCCACGAGGTTTGCAATCCCAACCGTCTTGGAGACCGTGCTGACGAGGAGACTCAGCGAGCCCGCGGCCACGTTGAAGAGCACCAAGGTCGACGTAAACAACAAGAAGCGGTCGGCCGGCGGGTTGAGGCCCATGATATAGTAAAAGACAGCGGCGAAGAGCACGGCGGGCAAGATGCGCAGCGAGACCAAGTCGAGGAGCGTCTTGGACATAAAGTAGCTCCACGGCGCGTAGTACTGCGCGCTCGCTTCCTTGAAAAAAAGTGCGCGTTCGTGGATGAAAACGTCCATGGAACTCAATGTCGCAAACCCAAAAAGGTCAGCACAAAGTAGAAAGCCCCCATGCGGTTCTGAAACCCCGCGAGATTGAGTTTGAGACCCGAGAAGATTCCGCCCGCGACGAGACCGAGCACGACGCTCAAGACGACGTGGAAGATGAAGAGGGCGCGGTTGCGCCATAGGGTACGCGCCGCGCGCACAAAGAGCACCTGGAGCTCGAGAAGACGACTGCCACGGGTGGCCTCGCTCGACGCCTCGACGTCGTCGGTTGCGGCCGCTTGGAGCATCTCAAACGACGACGTGTTGACAAACGAGACCGACAACGCGTCGTGCTGCGCGCGCCAGAGGACGTCAAGCGACTCAATGTGCTGCGGCTGCGTCACGACATCAAGAAGGTGGTCGGCGATCGTCTCATCGGCCGGGCACGCAAGGTCGTGCTCTGCGAAATAGTCGGCCGCCAGCTTGGACGGACCATTGTACATGACCTTGCCTACACCAAGCGATCGTGAGCATTCAAGATTTAAATAAGACAATAAGACAATAAAACAATAAGACAATAAGAAATACGAAAACACGAAAAATATGAAAATACGAAAATAAGATAATACGAATGCCATAAAAGATAAAAGACAGAAGTGC